ATCCGTGTTTCCTCCCTGGGGTCTGGGCTCATGTTTACCTTCCTTCAGGAACTGTTCACAGGCTGCTAAACAGTTAGCTTAGGTGTCGGAATTTGCTTCCTCCAGGCTAGGATTCCTACAAAGGTGAGGTTTTTAACCTTTTTTGTGCCACAGATTGCTGGCAGTCTGGTAAACTCTGGACCCCTTCTCAGAATTAAGTTTTTAAATGCCTAAAATAAGATGCACAGAGTTACAAAAGAAACCAGTCATATTGAAATTGTTATCAGAATATTAAAACAGATTTATGGTGCAGAAATGTATGTTTTTGGGCTTCCCTGGTGGCGCAGTGGTTGAGAGTCCGCCTGCCGATGCAGGGGACGCGGGTTCGTGCCCCGGTCTGGGAAGATCCCACATGCCGCGGAGCGGCTGGGCCCGTGAGCCATGGCCGCTGAGCCTGCGCGTCTGGAGCCTGTGCTCCGCAACGGGAGAGGCCACAACAGTGAGAGGCCCGCGTACTGCAAAAAAAAAAAAAAAATGACAAGATCTAGTGGCAGGTCTTCTGACTCCTCTAGTTCCCAGCTAGTGATGAGTGGAAATAATATTTTGGGTTGTCCGCAGCAGCTGTGCTGTGATAAGAAAACGTCTGATTTCCATTACAGCATCATGGCACTGCCATCATATGGTTGGCAACATATGCCAACAAAGGTTATGCCAGCCTTGGTTCACAATGGAGGGAAATGCTGAATTTCAGTTACAGTTGTAACTTTTTTCTGCCTGAGTTCCTGGACGCACTGAACTCTCAGGGATCCTGGGTCTTCAGCCTTGGCTGAAAGTGTGAAGGGTGTGGAAGAAGCTGCCTGCAGAGGGCCATGTCCACCTGCTGCTGGTCAGCAGTTGGGGGACAGCTCTCCCGGGGAGCCCTGCTGACGCTCGGACTTTGCTGTTTCTGGTGTCAGTTCGCGACGCGGCGGCCCGGCTGCCCAACGGGGAGGGCACGCGGGCGGAGATCTGCGAGCTGCTCAAGGACTCCCAGTTCCTGGCTCCAGACGTCACCAGCACTCAGGTAGGAGGGGAAGGGCTGCTCGTGTTTTGTTCCAGGATGGATTTAAGGGAGCTTACAAGGAGATACCAGATAGAATAACGTAAAAATAAAATTTAAAAAAACTGATGGGGAATTCCCTGGTGGTCCAGTGGTTAGGACCCGGCACTTTCACTGCTGAGGGTCCAGGTTCAGTCCCTGATCGGGGACCTAAGATCCTGCAAGCCGTGCGGCGCAGCCAAAAAAAAAAAAAAAAACTGATGGAGAGGAAAGGAGGTCGTCTTGAGAAAGGAGAGCAGTGCTGCCCCTCGACCTTGCCATTGGCGAGGCTCTCCTTCTCTCAGCTCACCATCTTCGGGGCACAGCACCTCCATCTCTCAGGACTCGTAGTTTCTTGTTTTGCCGAGTGATGGGGTTAGCCATTGGGAGGTGGGATGTGTGTGTTGGCTGTGCCTCTCACCCAGGGATTTTCCCCGAGTCTGAGCCTGCGTGGTCCTTCCTCCTCTTTGTCCTGGGTCTCAGGTGAATACAGTGGTGAGTGGTGCCCTGGATCGGCTGCATTACGAGAAGGACCCGTGTGTGAAGTACGACATCGGACGGAAGTTGTGGATCTACCTGCATCGGGACCGGAGCGAGGAAGAGTTCGGTGTGTGCCCAGCCAGCTGAGGGCTGCCTCTGCCCTCCTGCCCCAGCTCCACTCCTTCTCATTGGCATGCGGGAGGACAGAGCTGTAGAGGCGGTTTAGCGCCCTGGCTCTTGGTAGGACCACCCTCCACACTGTGCTGAGGGTAAGCTGTTGCTGAAGCTTCCCACTCTTGTCCACAGAGCGGATCCACCAGGCCCAAGCAGCTGCAGCTAAAGCCAGGAAAGCCCTTCAGCAAAAACCCAAGCCCCCATCCAAGGTGGTAAGTGACCTCACGGGATGGCGGCAGAGGGGCTGTGGCATCCCGGTGGGCCTTGCTCACGCCCGCGTCCGTGCGCTCCCCGTCCTTGTGCAGAAGTCCAGCAGCAAGGAGGGTTCGGTGAAGGTCCTCGGCGCTGGCCCTTCTGAGCAGAGCCAGCTGAGCCTCAGCGACTCCAGCATGCCCCCCACCCCAGTCACGCCTGTGACCCCCACCACTCCTGCTCTGCCCGCCACGCCCATATCCCCCCCGCCTGTGCCGTCAGTGAACAAAAGTGGCCCCACGACTGTCTCGGAACCCGTGAAATCCACTTCGGGGTGAGCGCTTCCATTTCCTCTCCAGCTTTCTCCTTCCAGGGTTCTTTTGAATCTGTGTCCTAAGTTGTCTGTGTTGTTTCCCTGTGTGTTCTTTACAGTGTTCTTCTCGTGTCTTCGCCAACGATGCCGCAGTTGGGAACCATGCTCTCCCCGGCGTCCAGCCAGACTCCACCGAGTTCTCAGGCTGCTGCCCGTGTCGTGAGCCACTCCGGCTCGGCTGGACTCCCCCAAGTGCGGGTGGTGGCCCAGCCCAGCCTTCCTGCTGCGACTCAGTCAGCGGGGCCGGCACCGACGCTGCCACAGATGACAGCAGGACCACAGATTCGCGTGCCGGCCACGGCTGTGCAGGCCAAAGGCGGGCCCCAGGTAAGGAGGGACGGGGCCCAGGGGCCGGGGTGATGAGTCTGCCAGGCAGTCTGGGTCAGGACCCAGGACCCAGGTTACTGCTGCTGACGATGATGTTTATCACAACAGCTCATTTAACGTTCAAAGCCTGGTAAGCAAGTTATCAGTTTTGTTTTATTGAATACGTGTCGGGAATCAGAACTTTGGGAAGTTTAGTGATGTACGCAGGATTGTGACATCAGGACCCTGGTAGACAGAGGTGGGATGTAAATCCAGGCCTGTGATTCTAGGTCCCAGGCTCCTTCCCTTGTGCCTCTGGGCTTAGCCAGGCCACTAACTGCTGTGCTTTAGACAGGGATCTCCTGCCTCAGGTCCCTCTGCTGTAAAAGGGGTATAATGTTTGCCCTCAGTGTGTAGGGGTGAAGTGAGATGTTAAATGAGAAAGTATTCCTGAAAGTTAAGATGTTCTGCCTAAGGGTAAGAACTCCGCACTGTTCATTTTAGAGGGTAGTGCGCCCTCGGCATTGTTAGATTAGAAGCCCTCTTACAGGAACGCTTCCTGGGTGGTGACAGGTGGAGACCACTCCACGTGCTGGTCTGCGGCTTAGTGTCTAATTAAGCTCTTGCCCTCCTGCCCTGAACTAGACAGTAATGGCCACCGTTCCAGTCAAAGCTCAGACTGCGGCGGCCACTGTGCAGCGACTGGGGCCGGCGGGGCTCACGGTGACAAGTCTCCCTGCCACAGTCAACCCTGCGAGCAAGCCGGCCACCAGTTCTCCTGGGGGCTCTGCTCCAAGCACCCCCGCGACTGCGGTCATTCAGAACGTCACAGGACAGAACATTATCAAGCAGGTAGGTGCACGGCTGTCCGGGTGGGTCTGACTCCTTTGTCTAGAATCAGAGGATAGTTGGAGATCTTAGTGGCTTGTGACCTTTGATCCTTAGTTCGTAGGTATTTCAAGCGTGAGTTTCCAGCAAGGGCAGTGCAAGCTTGGTAGGTGCCAAAGAGGTCTTTTTTTTCCCCCTGTTACTGTCCATGTAATTCAGCGTTAAGTAGCTGAGTTTCTTGATCTGGAGTAGACTCTTCGTGAATTTACTTAGCTAAAACCCTATAGAATAGCTTGAATGTCATTCTCATAACACCACAGGGCAGGCACTTTTGTTATCCCTGTTTTACTGTTGAAGAAATGGGACCACTAATGATGAAGCAACGTTATTTTTTTCATCAGATGTTTATTGGGTGCTTTTTGTGTGCCGGCCACTGTGCAGGGTGTTGGGGGCTGAGTCTGTGCATCACCCAGACCAGGCCCCTGCCTTCCTGAGGCTCCTAGTGTCATAGAGAACACCTCTCTAGGGAGAAGGCTTGTGAGAGTGGGGAGCGAGGCTGGAGAGTGTGCGGAACCGTGCTTGTCCGGGGTCAGGCATCCCAGGCATGGGAACAGCACGTGAAAAGGCCTCGAGTTGGGAATGTTTGAGGAACGACAGGAACGCTGTTGGAGGCTCCGTGAGCAAGTGCGCAGGTGTTAGAAGGCGAGGTTGCCAGTGGTTAAGTCACGTCAGACTTTGCTTTTAATTTAAATGTGATGGGAGCCATCGGAAGATTGTGAGCCAGGATGACTTGACCTAGTTTACATTTAAAGAAATCTAAAGTCCATTCCACTGCTTTTGTGTGGAATGGACTTTAGGGGCCAAGGGCGGAAGCAGGGAAGCCAGTTGGGAGGGAGTCGCAGCCGTGCAGGTGGGCGGTGGGCTGGGCTTCGAGCAAGGGCCTGGCGGTAGAGCAGTGTGATTTCCTGGTGGTTTGAGGACAGGGTCAGGAATGACCCTGTGGCTCTTGGCTTGAGTGACTGGGTGGGCGGTACTATCATTCACTGAAACAGAAGGAAACACTGTGGTGCGGAGACTGGGACAGGCTGAGAGGAAAGTGTGCTCACGAAGTCCGTAGCAGCACCAGGCGTGTGAAGGGCAGTGAGACGAGGCCTGAGAAGTGACCACTCAGTGGACATGGATAGTGAGTGAACTCGACCGATGGCATGAGTGGCCCAGTAGAGGGGGGACGGCTCACGAGACACAGAGTCCCCCGCCTGGAAGGATCGCACCTGTTGCACGTGGACATTGGCCGTAGGTAGGAGTTGGTATGTGAACCTGGGAAGTCTGGCCCCGGGGCTCATGCCCTTTAGTGCCGGGCCCTGCTGCTGCCTCAAAGTGGAGGTCGGCACAACAGTGAGGCGTTTTTGAGACTGTAGGGGAAATACTAGTGATTTACAGGTGATTATGTGGTGATGATAGGGGATTACTTTTACATTTAGAAGTTCTCTTCTAGGTTAGAGACATGTAGAAGTCCAGTTGGCCCTCTCTTTCCTCGGGTTCTGCCTCCACGGGTTCAACCAACCACTGACGGAATTTTGGTTTTGAACCCGCAGGTACGGAGGGCCGACTGTTCTGTGCCATTTTATGTCAGGGACTTGAGCAGCCCTGGATACTCAGGGACGAATGTGTTGATCAGCAAAATGATACTTATTGGTTTACTTTAAAATATTCCAACTCCTCCCTCTCCCCACCCCAGCTCCCTGAAGAGTGGGGAAAGATAGATAAAATTGGCCAAGTGATAACTTTTGAAATTGTGTGATGGGTGCATGGATTTGTTAGACTGTTTTCTGCTTTGGCGAATGTCTTCCATTTTTCAAAATAGAAAGTTAGAAAAATACATGAGACCCACATTTCCCGCAGTGGAGGTTCCCCCAGTCACGCTCTGGAAGCAGCTCAGCCTCGCGAACGCCTTTGTCAGTGCTGTTCTTCCCCTCCAGGTGGCAATCACTGGGCAGCTCGGCGTGAAGCCCCAGACGGGCAGCAGCATCCCACTCACAGCCACTAACTTCTGTATCCAGGGCAAGGATGTGCTGCGGCTACCGCCCTCCTCCATCACCACGGACGCCAAAGGCCAGACTGTTCTGCGGATCACTCCAGACATGATGGCCACGTTGGCCAAGTCCCAGGTCACCACAGTCAAACTGACCCAGGACCTCTTTGGGACAGGCAGCGGCCCCACAGGCAAAGGCATCTCCGCTACCTTACACGTCACTTCCAACCCAGTCCACGCAGCTGACAGCCCTGCCAAGGCCAGTCCAGCCAGTGCCCCCTCATCCACTCCACCAGGGACCACCGTGGTCAAAGTGACTCCTGACCTCAAGCCAACAGAAGCCTCGAGTTCAGCTTTTCGCTTAATGCCAGCGCTTGGCGTGAGTGTGGCTGACCAGAAGGGGAAAAACACAGTGGCCTCATCTGAAGCCAAACCAGCCGCCACCATCCGCATCGTGCAGGGCCTGGGGGTGATGCCCCCCAAAGCAGGCCCGACCATCACGGTCGCAGCCCATGCCAAGCAAGGGTCCTCCGTGGCCAGTGGGTCTGGAACTGTCCATACGTCCGCGGTGTCCTTGCCCAGTGTGAATGCTGCCGTGTCCAAGACTGTGGCCGTGGCTTCTGGGGCTTCCAGCACCCCCATCAGCATCGGGACGGGAGCCCCTGCTGTGCGGCAGGTCCCCGTCAGCACCACGGTTGTTTCCACGTCCCAGGCTGTGAGTAACATTGGTGGTGGAGACCAGCCCTTCTGCTTGGGAAGCTTCTCTTGTTGGGAGTCTGTCTCCTCCTCTGACCCAAACAGGCTTCTTTACTAAAATACTTTGCTGTTTAATTCTGAGACAAATTTACAAAAGTGTAGCATGGGCATACGTTCTCATAAAAGTAGAACAGTGCAGGGGATATACGTATGCATATAGCTGATTCACTTTGTTATATAGCAGAAACTAACACAACGTTGTGAAGCAACTCTACTCCAATAAAGATGTTATAAAAAAAAAAAGTAAAACAGTGCAGAGGTACACGGAGTAGGTATGAAGTTCCTCTTACCACCTCCGATTCTCCTTTCGTGAGGCTCATCACTCGTCGTGTTTTGGCATTTATCCTCCTAGTTCTTTTTCTGGGCATTGTCGTATATATTTACGTGGTTTTAAAATCTCTATGAGAGACCTCAGTCTGTGATTTGCTTTATTTAAATATTTAAAAATGTGTCTTGGGCCTCATTCCAGATCCTATGATACTTAGTATCTTGTTAAAAACATTGCTACAGTGCATGTTTGTGTATGTGAACATGTATCAGTATTTCAGGAGCAGAGGTTCCTGGCATGGGTCGGGGAGGTGCACATTGAAAGTTCTGATACTCCAGTTGTATTAGCAGAAAGGCCACACCAGCCTACACTCCCCCCATCAGCTAGTTTCCTGTTTCCCTCATACCCTAACCTCGTGCTGGATATCCTGTTTTTTTAAACTTTATGTCCCTATCTTAGTAGTAAAAAGAGAGTTCTTTTTCTGTTTCCTGGATCGTTAGTGAGGATGGGCAGCCATTCGTCCAGAGGTTGGCATGGGCTCTCCAGGGGTGAATCAGTCTTTGCCAGTTTTCTTCTGGGGTATTTGGCCTTTTCGTATTGTGTGAGCTGGCACCAGCCTTTGTATCTTCTGCATGTTAGTTCTTGTATGTGTAGAAAATATTTTCTTCCAGTCTGTCAATTTTTAACCTTGCATGTGAAGCCTTTTGCTCTGCAGGTATTTTATCTGATGAGATCCATCAACATTTTCTTTTACGGCTCCTAGGTTTCGTGTCTTGTGCCTTTCTTACTCCAGGCTTATAAAGATGTCAGCCCTCATTTTCGTAAAATATTTTTAGAGTTTAAAAAAAGTGTAATTGAGAAATCCATTTGAAATATATTTTTGTGAATGGCATGTGGTATAGGTCTCATATTTTTCAAATTATTCCAACATCAATGACTAGTATACCTCGTCCCCACTAACTTGAGGGTACTACCTTTATCATAAACCAAATTTCCATATCAACAGGTGTGTTTCTGGGTGCATGTGTTTATTCTTTGACCTCTAGATAAGGGGCACTGTTCTGTATGGTGGGTGCATCTGGACGGTATAAAATACAGTTTACTTTTCTAAGCAGGCAATATAGTAAAACCTTACTAATTTGGATAAAATCCAGAGGATTAGTGGGAGGAAGGAGGACCTACATGGTAGTAAAGCCAACCAGCCAACCCTGAAGTGCAGCGTCGCTTTGAAGGAAATGTTTGTTTGGGTTCTCGTATCAGAGAAGTTAAAATAAGAAAGCGAGGAGACGGTGCTTACTTGATGCACTTTTGTTTCTCTTGAGTCCTTCTGAAACAGGAAGGTGAATCCAGAGGTATCTACCCTGTTGTCATCAATCAGGGTCACTGTAACCGGAGCGCATTTGGTGGGGCAGGAAGTACTGAGTGGTGCTGCCTGTCTGTCTGTCTAGGCAGCTGGTAGGCTAGTTCATGGAGGGACACAAGTTGGTGGACGGCTGGTCTGAAGCGGTCTTGTTCTCAACACTAGGGATTCTTAAGACGACAGTACAACCCTAGTAGGTTCCCTTGGAGGCCCCATCTGGCCGTGTTCTCTTGCCCACTGACATCTTTCCGTGCTTTCTAAGGGGCTGCAGTTGAGCTCAGCTGTGGAGATCAGTGTGGTGCCCTGGTATACAGTTTTCCTCCTGAATGCCTGGCTTCTTTAGAACCAGCTTGCCTGTGGGAAATGTTGATTCCTTTTCTTTGCATCTTGTTAGCTGCCCCTCTTGAATCATTTTTTTAAAGTTGTATGTACACAGGATCCTACTGTATATAAATTTTATCATCAACCAAGGGTTAAAAACCAGGCAACCTACAAATGGGCTAGTGTAGTGGCCGAACCCCAGCCATCATGAAATCCCAAAGATACCAGGTCTTTCCAGCTCCTTTTTTCTTCCTCTGGGCCTTCTTATTAGCTGTGGGTTGGACTTGTCATGTGGTTGAGTTTATTGCTAGTGTTCGCTGACTAACCTCCCTTACCTCTGGGAGAAGCAGAGCACTCGGGGAATGTGTCCTGCTGTGTGCTCCCCAGCAGTGCGCCTGCTCGAGGGGAGCAGCAGTTATGCACCTGCTGTATTCACTCCTGAGTGCCTCTGTCCTTGCTCAGTTCCTCTACCTGGCTGTGTCCCCGGTGTTGGGGGTACGTGGATGAGTAAGACCCTCCCCTCTGGGAGCTCAGGCTCATACTGTGCCGAAGTGGACACACGCTTTCCTTGGTGGTTCAGGCACATGTCTTGCCCTGATGACGGCAGGTGCGTGCGGCTGCTCTGCTTCCTGAGGCAGGAGAGAGGAGGCTCATGGCAGCTGGGTGGCACTGGGTGATGTTGGGTGGCGCTGGGTGACGCTGCGTGGCGGTCTTTTCTTCCGTAAACCTAGTTGCTTTTTCTCTCTAGGGGAAGCTGCCTACGCGGATCACAGTTCCGCTCTCTGTCATTAGCCAGCCCATGAAGGGCAAGGGTGTGGTCACAGCCCCCATCATCAAAGGCAACCTTGGAGCCAAGTAAGTGCTGTGGAGGGTTGGGCGGGCGGCCGTGGGGGGACACCTAGACATGCAGGGGAAGGCGGCTGGTTTCCTGGGCTCCTCCGTTGTGCTCAGCAGTGAGTCTCGAGCACCCGCGTTGTTTTAGGTGCTGTGGGTACAGCAGTGATTAAAACAGACAGAAGTTGGTGCTGCTTTCAGGCTTATACTGTAGGGTGAGTGGGGAGAGGAATAGTGAGTTAAAGTACTGTGTGGCCGGTGACGTGCTCTAGGGAAAGCAAGGGGGAGGACACAGGCGGAGCTGGATGGGGGTGGTGGGCGTGACACAGCTGGGGGCAGTCCCCAGCATGGGCGTTAGGGAAGGCCTCGCCTCGATGTCTGAGCCCTGGGCTGGGATGGCTCAGAGGTGAGGGCCTCCTGGGGGCCTGGGCGTCTCGTGGCTCTGACTTAGATGGGGATGGAGGGCATGAGGAGATAAGTCTGCTGCTCTCAGGACGGCTGCCTTGGCAGGGCTGGGCTTCTGGTCAGGAGTGCACACCTGCTAGGGCCCCGTCCGTTACTCCTGCTGGTCGCGGAGCGGATACAGGGCCATTTCATCCAAAGCGCTGGGAGCCTTTGGCCTTGCTCTCTTCTCTGACACGGGAAGCATAGAAGCTGGAAGAAAGGTGGTCTCGGCAGCCGGTTTCCATTTCAGTCCAGGGTGCCGGGGTTTTCCGCTGGCCCCAGACCTGGCCTCATGCTGGCCCGGCCCGGCCATGCCTCACTCCTGCTTCCCCTCCGCAGCCTTGGCGGGCTGGGCCGCAACATCATCCTCACCACCATGCCAGCAGGCACGAAGCTCATTGCTGGCAACAAGCCGGTTAGTTTCCTCACCGCCCAGCAGTTGCAGCAGCTCCAGCAGCAGGGTCAGGCCACACAGGTGAGGTCCGGGCACCCGTTGCGCGTGTCGGGCTGCCCTCCTGCCCCGTGCTGCTCGTCCTCAGCTGACGGGCCGCGGGCAGTCTGCCGACCAGACACTCTTTCTGCAAACAGGTGCGCATCCAGACTGTCCCCGCGTCCCACCTTCAACAAGGAACAGCTTCTGGTTCCTCCAAAGCCGTCCCCACGGTCGTCGTGACCACGGCCCCATCTCCTAAACAGGCGCCTGAACAGCAGTGATTCTCAGGGAAGAAGACGGTGGCCGCAAAAGCCACACCCGGCCGGCTTCTGGCTGAAGGGAGGAGCGGGTGGCGCACCACCCCCCGGGCACGCCTGCCTGAGAAAGGCCAGCGGAGGGGCCACGGCGGCCGGCTGCTGCTCGGCGGGGAGTGCGCTGCACCAGGTGCGCGGGGGTGCCGAGGTCTGCTCTGTCTGGTCCGGGAGAAGCTTCTCTGGTGGGGTCGTGTGAGCGCGCCGTGGCCACACAAGCCCAGCTGTCCCCTGGGGTGAGGCTCTGAGGATGGGCAGACGGCGAGAAGGTGTGCAGACGGCAGACGAGGCTGGTGCTGTGCGGGGTTTATTTAGCTCTGGTCTTCTCTGTGGCTGGTGGCTTAGTTAGGAGCTCTGTGTCCAGACGTTTTTATGTAACTTATTGTTTTAGAGAACATCTTGTACGTCCTTATCAAGTAGAAACCTGGGCTTAGCTCGCCCCCTCCCCCTCAACTGCTTATTTATTCTTTTGACCAGAACGAGAGAAGAGCAAGATTCTTAGTAAGTTGGAGGCTGACTTGATCTCTGCATGGTAACAGAGAGGCCGTGAGGTGGGGGAGAAACATGGGAAGTGAGGTCACGTGATCCCACCTGAAATGGGATTAGTCTGGCGGCCCCTCTTAAAGACGGGCTGTCAGGATCTTGACTGTGGTCCATACCGTCACCTGCAGACTTAGACCCCCTTATCGAGCGTGTCCCCACGCGAGTCCAGGGCCAGCGGACAGAGCAGGCAGACGCCAGCAGAGGTGCTGCTTTTGCAGCACAGGCTTTATTGTAGTTCAGAGATGATGCGTTTTGCTTTGTTCCGGAGCAAGAGTCAGCAAGCCATGCCCCTTGGGCTGGCTACCCAGTTTTGTAAATAAAGCTTTATTGAAACACAGCCCGTGCCCATTCATTTATGTACTGCCTATGGCTGCTTTCAGTTAGAAGGCAGAACTGAGTAGTTGTCATAGAGACCACACGGCCTCAAGCCTGAAATGTCACCTATTAAGTAGAACTTTGCTCGCTTCTGCTCCAGAGTAGAGGTGGGGAGAAGGGGTAGGGGGTGGGTGCAGCCACGAGGCGGCACCAGCCACAGAGGAGGTGAGTCTGGGTTTACAGTCGTTTGCTCCTGGCTGCTTCATGGTTCTCAGCCTCCATCGAGCTATAGGCAGAACTCAGAATATTTTAAAATGTAACTAAAAGCACTGATTATCGACAGTATGCCTCTTTCGTATTGGAGCAGGGGTTGGGTGGTGAAGCTTTTCTGTAACGACAGGACTTCCCTGTCTTTTTTGAAAGTATCCAGATTATTAAAAATGTATCTCTAACTCATGGAAATTCAGTGATGATCTTTGATGGGGTCTCTGTGAGGAAGTGGAGTTGGAGGGCAAAGAATTGGAGTGGCCTCCTTTGGAGGGGTTGCTGGGTGGAAGCTGAGTGATCAGGCAAGTTGCAATGGTGCAGAGAAAGAGTGGCTCACTGGGTACACAGACATTTGATTCGTAAAGCAGTTCGGTAAAATAGACATGACCATCCGTGTTCTAACTGAGAAAATCCAAGCCTGAGTTGAAGTTAAAGAGAACCAAGCTGCGAGTGCAGTCTTTTAATTCAGGTGCCCTTTCTGCTGCCTTCCTGTGGGGACGTGGCTGTGATGTGTCCTGGTGAGACGTGGGGACCGTCCGGAGCCGGGAGTGGTAAGCCTGGATTATAAAGAGCAGAGGTGAATTGGCGGGGGTGAGATTGAGCTTTTGGTGGGTGGTAGAAGGCTGGCACAGAAATAAGATTGGTAATGGGGAGAGGCGGAGACTGCAGGGAAGGAAAGACTGGTTTTTGACCTGAGTGGAGGAGAGCACGTCTGCATGGCATTATTTCCTCGAGCACATGTCACGCGAAAAGCCCGTGTGCCGGTTTCCAAACGAGAAAGAGGTAGAAACTTGAGGGATCCTGGCTCTGGCATTTACTGCTGGTTAAAACAAATCCCTTTTGAATTTACTTAACGAATGATTTCATCGTTTGTTCAGCCTCAACCCTAAGCTCCACTCTTATTTGCTGAAGTCACTTGACTCTGCCTGTCTCCTGGGTGCCCGCAGATATTTACATCCTAGCCCGCGGGTCACTTTCAGGATGCCGGTGGCAAGTGTGACCCGGTGCTTCCTGCCCAGCCTGCCCTTGGGTCCCAGAGGATGGCACCCCCTGCCGGAGCTGCTTGGGTGACACCACCGGCATTTGCACCAGGCATGGTTCCTTGCGTGCAGACCTCAGGGGTCTTGTAGAGACATGGTAGCTGGTGGGTGTTTTGTGGGGAACCATTCCAGAAGAACCTGGTTCAGAGGCTCAGAGGCTGGTGAAATTATTCAGACCATGTATCTGAGACTAGATTTGGTGAATGGCATTGTGATCGGTTTGTACTTTGTCACCACGTCTGAGAATATTTATGCGGGTTGATCACTTCCATGAAGGTATACCAAACAGTGCTGTGTCAGGTGCATCAGAACAAACTGTAATATTTTGTATCTGACCGTCACACCTCAGCCCCTCACTGTCTAGAAAACGCTGCATTTCCTTAAAGTGTTCTGTCCCCTCCCCACTTTAAAAATCTAAAATGGAGGGCTTCCCTGGTGGCGCAGTGGTCGAGAGTCCGCCTGCCGATGCAGGGGACACGGGTTCGTGCCCCGGTCTGGGGGCGTCCCACGTGCCGTGGAGCAGCTGGGCCCATGAGCCATGGCCACTGGGCCTGTGCATCTGGAGCCTGTGCTCCGCGACGGGAGAGGCCACAGCAGCGAGAGGCCTGCGTACCACCAAAAAAAAAAAAAAAAAAAAAAAAAAATCTAAAATGGAGATCTTTACTGTGAAAGTAAACCTGCGACTGTGTTCCCTCTTCCCATCTCCAGTCCCTGAGGCAAGAACACGTTTTACATTAATGGCCAACAGTAGAACTTGCTGGATAGAACATGCTTCATTCAGGACTTGCTAAATGAACATTTGGGTTCCTACTCAGCAGGCAGGCCAAAGTGGGTCCTGAAAGGGGGCTCCCGGGTTCTCTTCTCAAAATTCAGTGTCTTCAAGTAGCTCATGCTTAATCCCTAAGATGTGGCTTCGACCCTGAGATGCTGGCTGACCGTGGGAGGTTGCCCTTCGTGTAAGTACAGCATTCCTTCCAAAGAGCATACGTGCGTCACACAGCCGATCCCTGCCGTGTTGGTGTGAAGTAGCGAAGGGCATAGCGGGAGAGAAGCTGGCCTCTGAGTCCTACTTGAAGGCTGGCTTTAGGACTTCGTGGTTGTGTGGCCTTAGGCTGATCCGGTTCTCTGAAGAGCCCTGATGTTCTTGCAGTACAGGTGGTTGTGAGAGTCAAACGAGATAGAAAGCAGTTTAAGGTCTGGGAAATACTGTACAAATGAATGGCACTGTGGGTCCCTATGACCTTTCAGATTTGTCCTAACCCACTTCTACCAGTTTACAGAGCTTGATGAGCCGTCCGCGTTCTTTCGTACTCTCACTGTCTTTGTGCCTGGATTCTCTGTTCCTGGAATGTGCTTTTCTGTAGGGCACCCCCCAAACACACACCTTCTCCTCCCCTCCTTCGTTTCCCATGGTATCTGTACTTACCCCTTAGGGCACCAGTCACCGTGCACATAACTGCTTATATCTCTCCCTTTAGACTGTGAATTCTTTGCTGGACACATATTTCGTTAATCCTTACAACCATTTCAGTGCTGGTGCAAAGCAGATGATTAATAAATATTTGTTGAACGAAACGTAAAGAAAAAAAAAGAACAGGTCCAGAACCAAGATTCGCGTATCAAGACTTTATGTCACTAGTGCAAGATTCACGTCCTTTGCAGGATTCTTATCTTTTGCTTTCAGCTATGTTGAAATTCAAGGCCTTCCATAACCTGACATTTTTCTCTCCACCTCATTATAGAGGTTTCCTGTCAGCACCCTCTTACTAGGGTACTTTTGAGAAGTCAGAATATCTGGGCTCCAGCTCTCAGCTGGACCACTCACTAGCTTCCTGATTTAACCAAAAAAATCACCTTTGGCCCAACTTCATCACTTATCAACAGTGAGTGGTATTGCAGTACTCCGGAACGTTATGATTAGTTAGGAGATGCTTAGCAAGTCATGTTTAAAAATACCAAAGCTCGTGAATTATTTTACTTTAAAAAATACGGATTAGAATTATATCTCTAAAATAAAGGCTCTGTCATTCACCTTCTGATAAGAAAGTACCTGCCTTCTTGAGGGCAAAAGGGCTAAATTATCAAAAGCAGTAAATTCTGCTGGATTCACATTCTGAATTCACCCATGAGGTCACTTCCTGTTCTGAAACTTTCAGAGTCTGAGTTCTCTTCACACTGAGACACAAATAAAGGCTGGCTTCGTTTTTCTCTACAAAGTATACCACAGCAGCAGAGACTTCAGTTGGTTAAATGAGCAGATGCAAATATACAGACCCTTGAGAGTGGATCACAATGGGGGTTTCAGTGAAGGAAGGGAGCTGCCCCACTGACCACCAGCTGTGCCCCCAGAGGACACTCCGTCCTCCGTTGGTGACCGATGGCCGCCCTAGTCCTCATCAGAGCCGCTCAGGAGGATCTTCTGGTAGGTGTGATCTGACTTCAGCTTGTGAATCCCAATGATTTCTCTGTCTCCAGGCCTCTTTACCCGTGTCAGGAAGCTGTAATGGGGAGACAATAATTGCAGATGGAGTGAGCCCAGGTTGCCTTATTCCCTCACCCGAGGATGCGAAGGCGTCCGCTGGCCCTCAGAGCATGTTTTTTATGTCTCTGTCAAATACTGTGGTGACTCATCTGCGTCTCCGATTTCTTAGACAGCGCTCTTTGGTGGTGAAAGGACTCACAGTCACTTAAAGGTCAGTGATGTAACTGAGACTCAACTTAGTTCCCCTGCCCCACAGTTTGTTGATTCACTGACCGGGCAGGAGAACTCAGAGAAACCATGGCCTGCTTTCCCTTCTGTTTGGTCTGTGTGGAACTCTCTCTGGGTGAACTCTTTCTCTTTGGGTAGGGAAATCAGGAACTAGGAAAGAACAGAGGTGGCTCTGACGACACAGAACTAGCAGGACTGGGTGTGCAGTGGTTAAAGAGCTGGGCTCTGCCGTTTACCCCTTGGGTGAGCTTGATCCAGTTAGTCTTTGGAAGCCTTGGTTTCCCCGTCTATCAACATCACGTGCATCCTTTATAAAGTGAGCATTAAGTGGGGTAATTTACACACTTTAAGTGCTGACCACAGTGCTGGGACACAGTCAGTGCCTAGGAATTACTAGCTACTCTGGTAACCTCGGAAGAGCGAGCGCTGTTGTGAGCGCTTGCTGCTGTGGTGTCTTACCTGACCGTCACATGTCCCTGGGAAGTAGGGCAAAACCAGGAATAAGGTGTTGGGCTCTGAATGAACCAGGGACACAGCAGGGACTGCGGTTCAGTACTGATGCCTAATGCAGAGTTTTTCCTTTCAAACTACGGACTTAAAATCCATCAGAACTGCGTTCGAAACCTGGGTCTGTGAGGTCGCCGTGACCAGACAGACGGTCCTTTAACTTCTCAGACTTCATCACCCTCACGTGCAGGCACAGAGTGCCTTGCACAGAGCTTGGCATATAGTTGGCCCTCATTAAGTGGTAGACATTAGCACTGCTTAGTTATGAAGGGTGGGGCGTGGAGGTAAAAAGGATGCAATGTAATACATTTCGGGGATGGGGCAGGTTAGGACATACTTGGCAAAAGTCATCTTCTTTTGGACATACCAGTAAACCAGCGAGTAGCTGATGGCCACAATGCAGAGGGCGGCCAAGTAGTGCCAGCAGAAGCACATGGTGATGAACATGATGTTGGCGTCATCTTTCTGGTCCCATTCGGGTGCTCCAAAAAGCGGGAACAGCACGAACCCGATCTGGTGGATTATACAGAGAAGCCAGCCTTGTTACTGGGTGGGCCTGAGAAGCCCCCTAGCCTCCTGTGGCTGCCAGAGTGTCTGTAGTTGCCCAGACAACTCCCATGCCTCTGTTAGCATCGAACAGCCTCTGCACAGGAAATTGCTCTGTTAGCTCTGGTTTTAGTGTAGCCTTACTTAAAATTTCAGGGCCCACATTTCAGATGAACAGTTTTAAGCAAGTAGAGGCTGTAAGTGGTGTCAGTAGCTCTGCTGGGAAGGGCAGGCAGGTAAATAAATCCTCAGCCTGCTCGCTACCTGTGCTCTGTTGATGACGCTTGTTTATGTGTCAGCAGGATATCGATGGCTAAAGTCACGTAGGTCAGGGGTGGGCGTGGGCAGAGAAGTGGCTTCTGACCCCCTTCGAGTGGTGTGTCAGTGCTGCATCTCCTGGATGCGCTCGGCGGGCCTGCTTCGTCCTTGCACCAGGTGAGGAGCATGGTTTTGAATAATTACCTGCCAGAACCAGGTGCCCTGAAGGATAACGAGGCTGGTACGGAAGAGTTCCAGCACGATGTTGTCCCGGAGGATCACTTCCAAGGTGAGGCTGACAGCCCCCGCGAACACGGCACACAGCAGGAGGGAGTGGATGTGCTGGTCCAGCGGTGGCCGGTGGTGGACATGGTGGTACAAGAGGAAGCCTGTGTGGAGCAGGGGATGCTGTCGGGCCCACCCCCGCCCCAGGGGATCCGTTCCCAGCTTCAGCCTGACTAGGAAGTGTCTGTCTGGCACTTAGGAAGTCAGTTTATGTGACAATCTAGGGCAACAAACCGATGCAGGTTATTGTGTGTGTGTGTGTGTGTATGTGTGTGTATGTGTTTGTGTGTAAGCGGGTATAAGCAGCAGAGGATGAATCTTAACATCTCTTTACCGAATTTGTGGTAGGTAGGGTTCAGTCCAGGGTGGGAAGGTGAGATGTTGCTGATTTGTGACCAGTTGTGTGTTTGTACTTGACATTCAGTTTTACCCTCATTCAACCTCTTTTCAGTTCTTCCTGAGGTTCAGAAATCAATGAGGGGTTGGATTACAACATGCTTTCTCTCATCCAGTTAAGATGAGTTGCGTTGGGAGATGTGTCCTAGCCACTGGGTGGGAGTCCGGACAGTGACGGCGCAAGGTTGGGGTAGAGCACGGAGAACCTCTCCCCTAACCAGAGGGTCACCCCCTTGCGTGATGGCACCCCGCCAGTACTTCGTGCGGAGGGCGGGGCGGGGCGGGCACTGGGCGGGCAGGGGGAGTTGGTGCTCTGCCAGCCAGAGCTCTGGCTAAAAGCCTCGTGCTTTCCTGTGCTGCTTTATGGAACATGCCACCCGTACCGTCCAGAGCACAGGATCACGTCCTGTGTAGGATTCTGAAGCGCAGAGACTAGGGTTCTCTGGGGAAGATGATTACATTTGCAATATTTCTGATCTGCTGTGCTCCCGTCCCTCTAAGTCTCCGTCCACACCACCCAGTCACCTTCATTGGAAACTGCCACAGCCATGACCAGTCTGTCCAGCCCCAAGGGGATGTGGGTGATGAGGTAGGTCAGCATGTCCACGAGTCCCGAGACCCCAAAGAACAGGTACATGGTGCTGTGCTGCCAGTTCATGAGCTTTACCCAGTGGTCCTCGTGGGACAGGTGGAGGTGGGGCCCGTCCGGAACAAACTGCTCTGCCAGCATGCCTGCAGGGAAACGGGAGTGGAGGTTAGGGAGGGAAGAACAGCTCCAAGACAAATAGACGGCGAAGTGACCCCGAGTCATGGCGAAGGTGGCCCACGGCTCTGTGGACCTACTCTGCTGCCTCAGATGCAGCTGTTTCAGGATAAAATGTGTATTTGCTGAGGAACCTGTGCAGACATGTTGCCTTTGTTGCCGTTCCTTTGGGGGAGGGGGGAGAAACGGCGATAGGAACGCAGCCACACAGGTCCCCAGGACATTGTCCAGCAGTTGAGATGACAGCAAGGCATTGCCTCTTAAGCGAGAGTGTGGCTGATGCATTCTCTGGGGGTCCCCTCTGCCAAGCGAGCCGTGAGATAAACCTGGAAAGGAACAATTAGGTGGAAAATGATAGAATGCCAGCGAGACACACTGCAGGTGAAGATAGTCGTGGCAAGCCCAGCGACTCCCGGGTGTGTGCTTTTCCTGCGCCCAGGGCGAGCTCGGAACTGAGGGTCCCTCCCATGGCGCTTGGCCTCTGTCCCAGACGCTGGGAGAACAAGGCCAAGACCACACCTTGGTGATCCTGGCCACCCTGTAGCTCAGGAGACGGGGCCGGCACACAGGTGAAGCAGTACCACAGGGCAGCTCTCACTTCTTGGGAGCAAAAGATTCGCCTTTTGCCTGGTGCCCAGAATGTTCTCAGAGCCTAGAATAAGTCCTCCATGACAACGTTCTGGACCGTTTCCCAAACATTTCTTTCTCAGCCCAGATCCCCACCTCCTCTTTTTTTATTATTATTATTTATTTACTTATTTGGCTGCACCGGGTCTTCGCTGCGGCACGTGGGGTCTTTGTTGCCACGTGCGGGCTCTTGGCTGCGGCATGTGGGATCTAGTTCCCCGACCAGGGGTCAGATGCAGACCCCGTGCATTGGAAGTGCAGAGCCTTAACCACTGGACCACCAGGGAAGTCCCCAGCCCCTTTCTGAGTTCACGTACAAAGGATGAAGGTGCTGGTGGAAGCAACCCAGGAAAAGGACGTCCCAGTGACAGGCGAGCAGAAGGCCTCCGAGAGCAGGGACTGTGTCTGTTCCCCCCACCCCACCCCCGCGGCACCCAGACAGCGAGTTCCTGGCACGTGGCAGAGGCCCCAAGAGACCGTTCTTGGGTGAGTATTATTTTCACGTAGCAAGGAGGCTAAATATCATTTTTCTAGCTTTTCTAAGGCCAAGTTGATGCTGTCCTTTACCGTTTAAGCCACATGGGCCCTATCACTTCGCAGCTTCAGAGAGATGACAAAGCCTTTCCGATGCCTGGGTGACTGGTGAAGGGGACATTCAGCTAGACTGTGACCTTTGCTCACTCCACGGGGAGGTACTGCCCTTGCTTCCGTTCCTTGGAGAAACTGTAGGCCAAAGGGGACAGGTGGCAGAATGTAGCTGCAGGGTGAGCTCCCTCCTCACTCACGTGATGGGCTGGTCCTGACAAGGAATTCTGTCTGCTCTTGACACCGCGTGTTGTTCCTCGAGGGCCACCAGTGGGCTGGATGGCTGTCAGGTGACCACGGGAGTGGGTGGGTTTGTTGGAATGGGGCGCAGTGAAGGAAGGTTCCCCTCAGGCAGCTGTCTGTTGGCTTTTCTCTGCCTCTCTGACTAGCCTTCCAGCAGGAATCCCCATCTCTAAGCACTTGAGATTTGGGGATGGAGGGTACGAGTTGGGTGTTAACCACTCGTGAGATTCTAGTGGAGGGAGAGAGCTGGGGGGAAAAAAGATGACTTTTCTAAAACTAAGCTCCGTTTAGTACCTTCTCATAACTCACGTACATGAGCTTAACTCTAATTTGTTCTTATTTTCTCTTTTTCTGTTTTGTCTTTTTCATAAAGTATGTCTTCTATTTCTACAATTTATGCCTGTGTTCCTACAAATTATACCTGTATCCTTCTAGGGCAAAGAATGCTGCAGTCTATGTGGTAGTTTTTCATAGTGTGAAACTTAGAACTGTGATGTAAGGTGCTATTAAACTGTCAGTGTTACTAAGCTTGGTACACAATAGATGCTATGGTGAAATATGTAGTGCCCCAAATTCTTATGTTATCCCTGCCAGTGGAGACATCCATTTTCCACAGGGTCCAGGAAGTGGGTGACGGGTTCTGGGTATGACAAGGAGATCCCTGGGCCAAATGACCCCCTTCCTTACCGATGACTGAAAATAAAGTTCTGATGGCGGCCTCAGTGACCTCCAGACGCTGATAGTGGTGAGTCAGTCGGCTGCTCTTCCCCTTTTGGTGAAAGTACTTCAGTGGGTACTTCACTGACCACCACAGTCCAACTATCAAGAAGAAGCTCCCTGGGAGAGCGTGGCCCTTGAAATTTGCCATCGGGGTCCCAGGATACCTAAACAATAAAGGGACAGCTGTTAGGTGGCTGAATGGGGAAGACATAAATGGATAATTTGGCAGGAAACACGATCCATGACTGGGGATTCCGAGCTGTAAGCCATATTGAGCAGGAGCCCCTTATTCTCAGAGAATAAGCCTGTGTTACGTCATTGAAGTCTTGTCCGCTCAGTGAGTTACAAGCCCAGGAGAATACCACTGGCCCTGAGGCTTTAGAAACGTGGGTAAAAATAGGAGGGAGGAGAAGGAGGATGGGTAAATACTTCCTGATCTTAGAGTAGAAAAGCCTTTCTAAACATAGAGGTAAAGGAGGGAACTAGAAAAGAGAAAGTCATCTGCATAAGCATTTTACATATAAAACACATTAAAAGGCACACCATTTGGGAAAACGTTTGCAATAGCTGTGATAAATGGATATTCCACTACAGAGCCTTTACAAGTTAATAAGAAAAAGACCGTAGAAGAATGGGCAGAAGACACAAACCACATAATTCACAAAATAACACAAATTGATAATAAATCTCACTGTAAAGATAATGCAAATGAAAAAATATTTTTCACCTAATTTGAAAAATTGAGGGCTTTCATGCAGCCCTCTAAGTATAAATGAATACGGTCTTTCAAATTTGGTAAAATGACAGGCTGTTCAGCCAGAGATGTGTGGAGAACTTGTATCAGCCCTTCCATGACTCATTTCTAGGGTTTTCCCTGTTAAATTCCTGGTTGGTCTGCTGCTCACCCCAGCTGTGCATTTCCCCTGCTCATTCCCGTGTGTTCATTTCCATGCTTAGCTTGTGAAGCCAAGCGTTTCTGACCCCCATCGCTGCCCTGAGCTGTGTCTGTTTCCTGGCAGCTGAGCAACTTGTTTTCATGGCCAGTACCAGCATATTTAAAAGTCATTGAGTGAGGGGGGACTCTTGTTATGGTGTGGCCACAGAACCCACAGCCTTCCACTGTTGAGCTGAGCTACTCCGTAATACTGCCGCCTCAGCATCCTTTTGTGCGGCCCGTGGCCTGGAGGGGCCTTGAACTGACACCGGCCCCTCCTCTGAGCATGCTCCTGAAACAGCTGCAGAGTCACAGTGGTAAACAGTCTCTTCCACGTCCCAGGGCCTTCCCCCTGGTGTACTCCTTGGATGAGCCCCCCTGCAAAACTTACGAGAACCCTGGTCTTTTTGGTTTGAATGGTGCAGTCTGGTTTCCCTGGGCACCCTGAAGCACTCCATCTGTGGACCTTAATAAGGGCGTATGTCCCAGTCTGGCCTCCCTCTGCCTGCACCCTGCCTTGACCTCCCACCCTGTACTCCTCCAGGGCTGTGAGTAGTCAGCTTCTCTATTTCGGTTCTCTTGTGGGCTTTTGTCGGACTGAGGCTCACGATGCGGCATCCAACATTCCAGGACCCTTATTTAACGAGTAATTTAACAGTCACCACAGCTCAGTTTGTTGTCTACCTTTGGTCAATTTCCAGTTCCCTGCAATTGTTGGTTTTGATAATTTTGTCTAGTGCTGTGTTTATATTTTTGCGGGGGGTGGGGTGGGTGTTTTGCAGAAAGGAACTGCCTGTCTCTTTATGCTGCCATAACTGGAAGGCCTTCTCATTCTTTTTTAATCCTCTACTGAAAAACATTAAAAAAAAAAAAAAGCTCCACTTTTCATTTAATGTTTAACACAGGTCCCTTTCCAGGTCAAGCCTGTTAACACTCCTTTGTTTTCCTAGTCAGAAGTGCAGAAAAACCAGCCTTACAAATCCTCCCTGCCCTTCCCTATTTTTCTGAGAGGCAGAACCCCAAATGGAGGCACAGTCCTTGTCCGCTTGTGTGGCATCCGTACCAATTTGTCAAGCCTCACCCTTGCCTTTTACCTGGTTTAAAATTCACGCCAGTGGATCGTAGGGCCTGCAGCGTGTCTGAAGAAACTCCTTTTAACTTTCTGGAAGGCTGAGGACGTTGATTTGATGGGGAAGAGGAGCAGGGGAGGTAGATTTCTTCCATTAACAAATTAAGAGGTTATTAGATTAGCTACATTATAGAACGTCTAGAGAGATAGGACGGGTCCAGTTTTAAAAAGGGAAAAAGAGAGTAACTTCAAACAGAACAATAAAAATTTAGACTTCCAATAATTTGGAAAATACCATTCAGATAAAGTCCCTGAGAAGTCTAGCTTAAAAAATAATTAAAAATATTAAATAAGGAAGCAAACATTTAAGGGGTGAGTGCCCTTGAATACACAGAATGGTGTGGCCATTGCACAGTAAAATACGTCGATCTACAGAAAAGCCACAGATAGGAAAACATAAGAAAGTGCTTCCACAAAGACAAATTCCCTTATTTTTAATATGTTTACTCTCTTTTAATATTACATGAGATGGAATGGGAGTATGAAGGGAGGATTAAATGTTTTGAGGGGTAGCAGCTTTGAGTTAAAGCTGGAAACCGAGAAGGCTAGAGGTTTAGGCAACTTTTCATTTCACGTCTGGGGAGATCACTGGAGAAGGAACATTGTCTGAGTAAGGTTTCACCAGCTTTCCTTGTACTCCTAGTTTTTAACCATTTTCCACAGTCTGCATTCCCTTTTTTTCATTTAAAGTAATTGAAATGGAAGACAAGGTAGAAGGTGTCAGAGAAAAAGGAGGTGAGAATGGGGAAGAGTGGGGAGCACGGAAAGAGGAGGGAGGGAGAATTGTAGGAGTTGGGGGTGATGGTGCAGAGGAGAGGAGAAACCGTGGTCGGTGCCATTTGCCTGTAGTTAAAAGTAAAACGATGTGGTGCCTTTTCTTTTTTAATAAATCCAACATTTCCCCCTATTTTAGATGGGGAAAGTAGGAACTGTGAAGGAAAGGGTGTATGTAGATGAGTGACAGGATCAGAAAAAGGAGCAAGAAAAGAGAATTTTGTTCCTCATGTGCTTCGTCTTTGCAACCTCCAAAATTAGCAGGATCGAGGGCTTGGCATTCATGGCAGGGGAAGAGTTAAAGCCAATTTCCTCAAATTCGTGAGGACAGGATACAGATACATAGACTGCCAACTACACAGCCTGGATCTCTGCTTAGTTCCAGTTGACTTACGTTATCTTCACCGTGGAATGTTACGTAACCAGTAACAAGAATGAATTAGCACTATACCTGCTGTTCTGGGAGGTTTTGCACGAGTTACTGTTGGGGGAGACATGAAAGGCGGAAAAGACTGCTTATAATGCGACCCTGTTTTGTGCAGCAGTGAACGTTCCACATATCTGTATACACATGTACAGGTGTATGATTTGCATGAACGGGGAAAGCAGTGTGGAAGATAATTCGAGGGTATTTCGTGTTCATTGAGCATTTCTGGCTCTGTCTTCTAGGCATGTGGTATGGTTGCACTTTCTGGCCCCCTTGCGGTTGGGTGGGGTCTTGTGAGTTGTGAGCGTAGGTGACGTGTTACTTCTGGGCTGACGTGTAATTGCCAGTTCAAGACCCTCAGAACAGTCACCTCTCCCTCGTCACTATCAGTATTCATGATGGTAGCTCCTCCGTCAGCCTAGATCCCGGAGTGAGGAGACACGGAGCAGAGCCCCAAATCAGCCGCGATGAACACATGGCATGAGAAGTAAACGGGAAAGCATCACTGAGCTCTGTGGACCGTTATTATCCAGCAGAACCTAGCCTGTTCTGAATCATACAGCTGTATACTAGGCTAACGTTGACAGGTGGGACACTCAGGCTTTTGTAGTTTTTTTTTAAAAAAATATTGAAAATCTTTATTAAATCCAGGGAAGAAGTAGTTGTGGTGCCATAAGAATGGCAGAAATTGTACCAAAAAGGTGCCAAAGACAATTGTGGTAAATTCTCTCTGAGCTGCCCTGACTTGTCACCTCCTTTCCTACCTGATATCACATAGATGCATTTTCTCTCCTGAAATGGTTCTTCCAGCCCCACCTTACTGTCCTGCCTAAAAAGACAACCTAATTCGAATTCAGGCACCCAGGGGTCTGTTACATTGCAGGGCAAACCTGGAGGTCCATTTCTCGAGTCCAGTAGTTCTCTGTGGGGGACCGTTTGTCTGAAGATTGATTGATTGATTGATTGATGGCTGCGTTGGGTCTTCGCTGCTGTGAGCGGGCTTTCTCTAGTTGCGGCGAGCGGGGGCCACTCTCCGTGGCAGTGCGCAGGCTTCTCCTTGCGGTGGCTTCTCTTGTTGCATAGCACGGACTCTAGGCACGCGGGCTCAGTAGTTGTGGCACACGGGCTTAGCTGCTCCGCGGCATGTGGGATCTTCCCGGGCCAGGGCTCGAACCCGTGTCCCCTGCGTTGGCAGGCGGACTCTTAACCACTGCGCCACCTGGGGGGCCCTGCTGACGTTTTTGACGGTTACCGAGCGGCTGGTGGTGGTGTTACTGGCATCTGGTGGGCGGAGACCAGCCACTAGACGTGACATCTTACAGCGCACAGGACAGTCCCCCACAGCAACAGATGTGCAGTCCTGAGCTCCTAGTGATGGGGTTGTGAGGCCCTGCTGTATTCGAGGTCAGCTTCCTATTCTCCTTTTTTCTGGAAGGAAATAGAAATTAGGCTGCCTGCCTTTCTTTGTTATTTATGCCAGGGTGTTCTTCTCCCTTCAGAACTTTATGGAGTATAAGCCCACTTCCCTAACAGTTTTTTTCTTGGCTGTCCATATCCTTTTGTTTTTCGTTTTTGTTTTTTTAAATAACAGCTTTATTGAGATATAATTCACATACCATACAATTTACCTAAAGTGTAAAATTCAGTGACTTTTGAGTATATTCACTGAGTTGTGCAACCATCACCACAGTCAATTTTATAATATTTTCATCACCCCCAAAAGAAACCTTTCACCCATCAGTCACTCCGTTTCCCCCAATCCTCCCTCCTGTCCCCCACAGCCCGAGGCAGCCACTAATCTACTTTATAGAGTTGCCTATTCTGGACATTTCATATAAATTGAATCATACAGTGTGTGGTCTTTTGTGCTGGCCTCTTTCACTTAGCATGTTTTCAAGGTTCATCCCTGTTTTCCAAAGTGGCTGCATCACTTTACAATCCCACCGACAATGTATGAAGGTTCCAGTTTTTCTACATCCTTAACAACAATTAATTATGTCCATCTTTTTTAGTTCAGCCATCCTAGTGGGTGTGAAGCGGTAGCTCATTGTTTTGTTCCATTTTGCTTCCCTAATGATTAGTGATGTGGAGCATCTTTTCATGCATTTATTGGGCATTTGTATATCTTCTTTGGAGAAATGCCTATTCACATCCATTGCTCATCTTAAGTTGGGTTATTTGTCTTTTTATTGTTGGGTTGTAATAGTTCTTTATATATTATAGATACAAGTCCTGTATCAGATACATGACTTGGAAATATTTTCTCCCTTTCTGTGGGTTGTCTTTCTTGATTGTGTCCTTTGAAGCACAGAAGCTTTGAATTTTGATGAAATCCAGTTTATCTTTTTTTTTCTTGTTTGTACTTTCTGTGTCATATCTAGGAAACCACTGCTTAACTCACCATCATGAAGATTCACTCCTATGTTTTCTTCTAGTATTTTTATAATTTTTGCTCTTATGTTTATGTCTTTGATCCATTTTAATTAACTTTTTAGGTACGGATCCAACTTTATCCTTTCGCATATCTAGTCATCCCAGCCATTTGTTGAAAAGTTTCTTCTTTCCCCCATTGAATTGTCTTGGTGGCCTTGTCTCCCCTTTTACTCTTGAAAATGGATTTCATCAATCTTCAGGGGAGGGCTTTGCCTATAATAATGTCAAACTGTGGTGAAGAAAGAGTAATTTAGCTATTGTGACACATATATTAACTATTTTAATAGAGTGTTGGGACAGTAAAGGGAGGACTCCAGTTCAGCCTGAGGGCAAGAGGAGGAAGATTACAGAGGGAAGTGTCACTGAAGCTTCCTTGAAAAACAGGTAAACACAGGTAGTATGCGTGGAGTTCTAGGCAGAGCAGACAGCACATGCAAAGGCTGAGAGGCAGCTGCAGCTAATCATCTCTGTGGCTGGGTGGAGCTGCTCACTGTTTCTGCCCTGCCATCCCCACCGTCTTTACCGAAAAGACCAGGTGGCTTTCTCTTCCTTGGGGGGAATGCATTAAGCCTCGAAATTCGATTGGGAATGGAAAAAGACAGTCTACTTAAAAAAGTCAAAGACCTTGACTGAGTCCTATAAACTCGCCGAATCTCAGTACCCCTCCTTCTAAAAAGGGACATTAATGTCTACCTCACAGGGATCTTGTGAGGGTTAACTGAAAATGTCCAGCAGCTAACTAGAACAAGTGTGTAATAAATGTCAGTTTCCTGTCTTCTCTGGTGCTCTTATACCCATTCCCGCAGTCCATGGGGGAGAAACCTGGGCTTCTCTCTTAGGAGAAGTAAATGATTGAACCAAAGCTGCTGTCCTTTGCTTTGAGTGGCTGACCCTAAGGTGGGGAAATCACTGTTGAACCTTTACCTCACCTTGGAGAGGGTGGCGGTTGAGCGTATTTTTTTTTTTTTTAAATGGGAACGGGAAGTGTGTTTGGTCAGTAGGGAACAGGTTATGGGAAGAATATGGCATATTCTTTTACTGCAGAACATGGTTTTTATACTTTCTGAATCTGTCCTTGCCAACGGAAACACTCAGATGGTTTCTGGTCTGCGTTTACTTTGGAATACAACCAACCATGCCTGACTCAGCTTTCTGTTCCTCTGCAAATAACAAGGTTGATACCCCTCGTTGTTCTATGAGCTGCTTGTTAATAGAATGTGGAAGAAGCACAAGGTGCAGTGTTGAAAGTTCCAACAGGCTGATGTGACCATGGCTTAGTCCTGAACTTCAGGCACGGTGTATCCCTGCTCTACACTAGCCTGAGAGGCCTTAAGCAACTCTGAAGTCCATCACTCGTCTTCAGATTTTGACAGCTTCTGTGTCATTGTTATTTTCTCTGTGGGGCGGGTCCTTGAACAGCATGGTCAGAAGGAGTAAGACCGGAATGAGTCTGAACCTTGTTCTGGCATGAATTCATGATGATATGGAAAAGATCACCATGAACAAGAGCTCAGTGACCTCCTAGCTCGGTTGGGTTCCTAAACAAAAGATGTTCTCATTTCTGCTTTTCCACCCGCCCCCCCACGTGCACCTATGAAATACAAGAGTCAGTGCTGCGTGCTGAGTAAATAATCAAATGAATAAGAAGGGATCCCTCCCATCAGGGAGTTTATAATCCAGCAGGGAGCTGTATACTTGTGAAAAATTGAACGTCATGAGATATACTGACAGCAGTGCTTGGGGACATGAGTAGAAAGTGAATAACTTTCACCGGAGAATCTGAGAAGGCTTCACGGAGGGGGCTGGCGTTGGATCTGGGCGTTTCTCGATTGCCTCTTTCAAACTCTTGAGAATTAGGCGATCTTACTGGAATCTTGAATTAAGGACTGAAGAACAAATCTAGGCTAAGTTCCATTATTTCTCAAGCTCTAATAAAGAACTTTGGCCTCTGAGTCAGAAGACCTGGGTTCTAGTCCAGGTTTTGCTGTGAACTTCCTCTGTGATCCTGAGCACGATATGTAAGCTCTCAGGATCAGAATGTCCTTGTCTGTTAAATGGGTATAGTTTGGAAGAGGTAACCTCCATGGCCCTTCCTAGTTCTAAAATCCCTCTTCTGAAATGAAAAATGAAAAGGAATTAGAGCAGGTTGAGTCATGGCAAGGGAAAATGGAACTCAGGTTATGGATGTCAACAACAGAGATGCAGTTACCAGTTGCCGCTTCAGCATACGTTAGAGTGAAAGGGGCATCTCTGGACTTGAATGGTTGGCTTATTTTCCAAGCAACAAGCAAAAAAGTTGAGTATATTTCCCTTCGTTCCCTACTTTCTGCTTCACTAGCAGCCCTTCTTGCCATGTGCAAGTCTTCCTCCCGTCTCCCGTAGACTAGTCTTTGAAAACGCATAGCTTCCCTTAAACCTGAGTTCAGCCAACTCCAGGTCAACCTTTTCTCTCATTCTGTTAACACTGAGAATGGAATATTGCCTGCCAGGTCAGTAAACAAAGGATGTCACCGTGGTCAGCGATTGCAGCCACCACCAGACAGTGAGCTGGTGAGCCCTGAGGGGACTCAGGATGAGAAAACACAGGATACTGGCCCCAGATAGCTGAGGTGCACATCAAAGGAATGATTTCAGTGAGCTCAGACTCTTGCATCTTCCCATCCATAGAAAAGCGCTAAATTCCTTAACTTGGGATATCTGGCTTTCTTTAATTTACAATAATTGTTTGACGTTCAGACTACCTGCCATTTGTTGCAAAACTCCTATATATCCTAGCTCCCCCCTCACCTCCTTGGAGCACTTCTCTCAGGGTTACTTGAGATGCTGCCTCGTGGGCTTGAAGTGCTAAAAATTCCCACCAAATAAAACATAACTCGCAACTTATAGGTTGTGAATATTTTTTAAGTTGATAACATCATTGAGACTAAGGCATCATCATCTCAGTTTCCTCTCCTTCACCTACAAATTCATACATACCCACACCCATTCTTCTCCTCAGACTCACCCCTTCTCTCATGGACCATCCTCCATCTGTGCTTCTGATTTCATCCTCACCTGTGCTCTCTAGGCCTCGTTCTGTCGATGTGAACTTCTCTCACCCTTTATAGCCTTTTCCCCTTCGACTATGACCAGGCCCAAGACTTTTTCACACAAAATAATAACAGAAAAAGGAAAAAGAACAACCGTGTGTCCTTCTTCCTATTTACTATTTCAATCATAAGAATAATATATCTAATGTATATAAAAGGTACAAAGGATAATTTAACAACTGTGTTCCACGAGCCAACTTAAGAAATAAAACATTCCTAACATCCTTGGGGCTTCCTGTTTGTTGACCCCTCCACCCCTCCTTTTTTTTTTTTTTTTTTTTTTTTGGCCGTGCCATGCGGCATGTGGGATCTTAGTTCCCTGACCAGGGATTGAACCCGTGTCCCCTGCAGTGGAAGCGTGGAGTCTTAAACACTGGACTGCCAGAGAAGTCCCCCATTGGCCCCTCCTTGACCATCTCCCCCTGCTTCCCCTCAGAAGCAACCATCATCATGAATTGTGTGTTGAGCATTCACTTCTTTCTGCTTTACTATATACTGCATACATTTACTATGTA